GGATGGAGGATTTCTACCAAATTCTACGGGCTGAAACAGGTCAAACATTCAATCAAGATGCATCCAGAATGCAAACCAATAATAAAAAAGATGCATCAGTAGTAACTGGTGATTAGGATGCAGAAGTTGGAAAAAGAAGTATTCATCCCAACTTTGAGGCAAAAGACACAGAGCTGTGGCCAAGAGCAGAAGGCGTCTTGTAGGGAGAGATTGCGTGATGGGTCTGTTTCACGTTCTTGGTCCCCAGTACTGCCAGCCCAGATACTCAGGCAGGATCCTGTCACTACTTCAGTTCTCAGGGGAGGGAGTCTGTTATATGCCCCTGTCCTGGATTGTCGGAATCAGTCACATTAATGCAGTTGTTTGGTTTTGGGGAAAAACATACAACCTCTGGAATTTTCTGATTAGCTCTAAGTTAGTGAGTTAGGTGTTGTGAAGTACAATTGATAGTGACCCAATGAACAGTAGATCTGTGTTGGTTTTTTAATTGTATTATTTTTACATGTACCATCAAATCAGATCTGACTGGTACAGGAGGAGATTGCCCCCTCCTTCTCCAGTAGAGCATCTGGTGGATTTGAACCGCCTACCTCTGGGATTGCTGTGCAGCCGTCTTGCCACTAGGCCACCAGAACTCCCTTGAACAGTAGATCTGAACGAACCCTCTCCCATCCTGTGCCGTGCTCACGCTTTCTGACACACCGAGTCCACTGCAGCAGTCATTGTGGCTAAGTGTGCCTTCCGGCTGACTCGTGCCTGGCACGCTAGCATAAAAATGAAGTTTGCCACTACTTTTCTATTTTGATTGTCTTCCGATCTGGGCTCTGCCTCTAATACTATAAGTAGCTGTGTTCCTCTGCAGTTCTTAGGATTTTCAGAGGCCTGTTATTTTAAGAAGTGGATGGCCAATCCTGCTTCCTAAGCTGGAACTCTAAGTGAAAGAGAATGTTCCTCATTTAAGTATGTTTGCTGAGTGTCCCCACTGGACGTCTGCTGGTAGGGCCTGTCCTCACAGGACTCAGGCAACCAGAGTGGTGCATGACGGGAGCTGAGAGAGTCTGGAGAATCCCACCCCCCTCCCAGTGTGTCAGGTTCCTGGAGGGGACACAGATGAAGTCACAGCAGAGATCCGAGGGGAGGCCCCTCCTTGCAGGTGTTCCCAGGGATGCCCAAATGAAAAGACTCCTCTTGAAAATCATGGTGAATGGAACTGTGATGTGAAAACATCATCTTTCTTGGAGAAAGGAAGGAGGACAGAGTATGTGCAGATCTCTGCTGTTGTCCAGCAACAAGTGGCACTTCCACGGCCTTGGACAGAGCCAGCCTTGGAGACGGCAGATCTGGGGCCTCATCTGGTCTCTCCCTTGATTTGCTCCGTGCATTTAACCAGGCCATCCTGCCCTCCTGAAGCTCACATGTCATCTCCTAGGTGCCTGTGTCCACGATGAATATGAGGACTGAAAGCTAGCTTTCTTATTCGTGTATCCAGTACAGAGTACCAGGCACATTGCCAGTGTGTAGTGAATATTAGTGTCCTGTCTTCTCTCTTACTTTCCTCTAGTCTTTCTCTTCAAATTCCACCAGAATTCCCCTTTCAGAGCCCTGCTCTGTACTGGCTGCTGGGTATTGACCCAGTCCCTGCCCTCAAGTGGCTCCCAGTCTGTTGAATGGGGACAAGATATGCAAGCACGTATCTAGCTTGTAGAGCTGGGTGTGTACTCTGTCAATACACCTCCCGTGGGACAATTTCTCTCCTGTGCTGGTAAGAACAGTTGTCTGGAGCACAGAGGAGAGCCAGGGGGTGACTGTGAAGGCCCAGTAGATGACCAAAGGGCAGAACCCATGTGTTGGACTCCTCAGAAAGCATGCAGAGTCGTAGACTTCAAAGATTCAAGAAACTCAGGGGCCAGTTCCTCACTAATGAAGTTAATTTGTTGTTATCTACCATTGAGTCAGAACTGACCCATAGCTGACTCTCCAATGGGTTTTCAGAATCAGGAAATAGAATCAGAGGAGATTGCCCATTTTTCTCCCAAGTAGCAGCTGGTGGATTTGAACTGCATGCCTTTGGGGTTGGCAACGCAGCTCCTTACCACTAAGCCACCACTTCTCCTTTTAATGTAGAGGTGATCAATTAGGATTTGGTTAAAGGGCTTCTTCAACGCCTAACATATCCAAGTACATTGGTAATAGGAGGACATAGAGAAAGATCAGATCAGTTAGAATATAGATGTGTACCGTCGAGTCAGAACCAACCCATAGCTGACCCTCTGGTGGATTTTCAGAGGCAGTTAATTTCACGGGAGGAAACTGCCCATCCTCCAATAGAGCAGCTAGTGACCTTGAACCACGTGCCTTCGGGACTGCAGCACAGTTTCTTGCCACTATGTATAAGAAAAAAAAATGCTGCTTTTGTCGTTAAGTAGGATTGATTGAGTTGATTCCAGCTATCTGTCTCTGTCTCTCTATCTCTATCTCTCTATCTATCTCTGTCTCTATCTCTCTATCTCTATCTCTGTCTCATCTCTATCTATCTCTAGGAGCTTCACTCTGTTAACTGAAAAGTTAGCAGTTCAGATCTACCCAATAGCTCAGTGCGATAAAGACCTGGTGATCTGTCTGGGTTTAACATTGAAGCCTAAGAACTCTACTAGGGACATTCTATTCCCATAGGGGCACCGTGAGTCAAAACCAACCGTCCGACACACAACAATTCCAACAACTGTTGTTGTTGCCATCAAGTCAGAACTGACCCATAACTGACCCAGTTGATCGCATGGGAGGACACTGCCCATCCTTCTCCTATGGAGCAGCTGGTGGATTTGAATCACATACCTTCGGGATTGCAGTGCAGATTCTTACCACTAGGCCACCAGAATTCCCTTGTATGGGATGGCAACAGCTACTCCTTGAAATTACAATCTGCAAAACTTTCATGTATAGAGAACTGCTTTATATCTATCTACTATGTCTGTCTGTCTGTCTGTCTGTCTGTCTATCTATCTATCTATCTATCTATCTATCTATCTATCTATCTATCTATCTATCTATCTATCTATCTGTTTTCCCTGAGAACACCACTGCAGTTAGTGATATGTGACCATAAATCCATGCATTCATCATCCATTCCCTATCCATCCATCCATCCGACCATCCTCCATCCATTCATCCACTCATCCAACCATCAATCTGTCCATCACCAACCCACTCATTCATCCATCTATCACCCATCCACTCTCATTCATCCATCCACCCATACATCAACAATCTACACATCTGTACACCTATCATTTATTCACTCATTCGTCATCCATCCAGCCATCTATCATTTATCCATACATCCATCACCCACCCATCCATCCATCAACCTACCCATCATCCATTCACCCAACTATCATCCATCTGTCATCATCTACTCATCCATCATACAGCTACCCAACCACCTGTCTATCATCAGTCCATCCATCTATCATTCATCCACCATCTGTCCTATCTTCCCTACCATCACTACCATCCATCCATCACCATATACCCATCTACCTGTCATCTATCCACCCATCCGTCATCCGTCCTCTCACCTATCATCTATCCACCCATCCATCATCCATCCACCCACCCATCATCTGTTCGTCCAACCACCCATCAATCACTTAACACATCTATCCATTTCTCTATCTTCCATCCACCCATCCATTCCCCATTCACCCTCCACTTGTCCATCATCCATCCACCCATCTATCATCCACCCATCCATCCATTATCCACCCACCCATCATCTATTCATCCAACCATCCATCAATCACTTAATCCATCTATCCATTTCTCTATCATCTAGCCTCTCATCCATTCCCCTATGATCCATCCAATCATTCATCATCTATCCACCCATCCATCATCCATTCATCAATCAGTGAATCCATCTACTATCCATCCACTCACTGAACAAACACTTATGGACTCCATTTAGGTGCCAGGCATAGTGATAATATGGACATACACCTTCTACTGCTTTTTAACTTCAGGGTCTGATGATTCAAGCAGCTAAGCATCTGACTGTAAACCTTCATGTTGACACTTTGAACTTACTCAGGAGCTTCCTGCAAGAAAGGCTTAGTCAGCCTGATACCTCTCTCCAAGGACGAGTTCTTCCTGAAAATATGCCCAAAATAAGTGAGTTGAATTTTCACCATCCCTGCCTCCAAGGAGTACTCTGGTTGTACTTCCTTCAAGACTGATTTGTTTGTTTGTTTTGACGTTCATTGCGTCTTCAATACCCTTTATCCTCACCATCATTCAAAGGCTTAGTTATTCATTATCCAACTTTCAAATGCATAGGAGTTATGAAAAATATCGTGGCTTAGATAAGGCGCACCTCAGTCTTTAAACTGACATCCTTGCTCTTTAGAACTTTGGGGAGGTCCTTGACAGATTTCCCCAAAGCAACACATCATTTAATTTCTTGACTGCAGCTACCATGTGTGTAGATTGTAGATCTGAATAAAATGAAGTCATTGACAACATCAGACCTTCCCCCATGTATCACACTGTGGCCCTTTGGTCCAGTGGTGAAGATTTCTATGTATATCTTAATAGCCTATTGCCTATTAGTTAATTTCCAACTTCCAGCCTTTCTTCCCTGGAAATCATACTAGCATAATTATCTCTGCATGTGGAAGACCAGTGTCTCTCTGGAGACTAAGGTGCGCCTGATACAGGCCATGGTTTTTGCAGTCACTTGTTATGCATCAGAGAGTTGGACAATGACTAGGGAGGATAGAAGGAGAGTTGATGCCTTTGAGCTGTGGTGCTGGAGAAGAGTATTGAATGTACCATGGACTGCCAAGAAAACAAATAGATTCATCCTAGAGAGGGTTAAACCGGGCTGCTCCTTGGAGGCAAGGATTCTGGGGCTTCACCTGACATACTCTGGACATGTTGTAAGGAGAGACAGGTCTTTAGAGAGGGACATCATGCTGGGCAGAGTGGAGGGACAGCGTAGGAGGGGAAGATCCTCTATGAGGTGGATTGATTCAGTGACTGGGGTAATCGGGATGGGTGTGTCAGAGGCAATGAGATTGGCACAGGATAGAGCAGGGTTTAGGGCTGTTGTACATAGGGTCGCTATGAGTCGCAAATGACTCAACGGCACATAACAACAACAACAAATGTGGAAGACCCCCGATGAGATGGGTAACTGGGGCAATGGGGGTTGGTGTGTTGGAATTAGTGAGACTGGCTCAGAACAGGGCAAGGTTCAAAGCTGCTATACAAAGGGCCACCATAGGTTGCAGGCAATTCACTAGCATGTAACAACAACAACAACAACATTAGTCTTATACAGTATTTATCCTTTTGTGACTGACTTATGTCACTCAGCATAATCTCCTCTATGTTGTGTGTGGGTTCATGGATTCTTTTTCAGTGTTGCATAATACTCCATTGACTGAATGTACTATAGTTTTTCTACCCATTCATTCACTGATGGACATGTGACTGACTTATTTCACTCAGCATCATCTCTTCCATGCTGTGTGTGGGTTCATTAATTCTTTTCCAGTGTTGCATAATACTCCATTGACTGAATGTACTATATTTTTTTTCTATCCATTCATTCACTGATGGATACTTGAAATATTTAAAAAGTGAATGGAACAAGAGGTGTAGGGGAAAAAAGTCACACACACACACACACACACACACACACACACACACACACTCCCTTAATGGTAGCTGGGCACTATCTAGTTCTTCTGATCTCATAGCAAGGGAGGCAGTTAATTGTTCATGGAGACAATTAGCCACACATCCCATGTCCTCCCTTTATTCCAGACTCTTCTTCTGTGGCTCCAGGTGAATAGGAACAAAAAGCATGTTCTTGGTGTTGCCAGTTGTTTACCTGATGTCCCCCCTCAAGCTCTGACACCCCTTTTCTCTGTCCCTTTCAGAGACCTCAGTCCTGCGCACCTGTGAGCAGCCGCTCCACTGTGAAATTTCCCACCAGCTGGGCCAGGACCCAGTTCGCTATGACCTCACCGGCTGGATCCACAGAGCCAAGCCCAACCTTTCTGCCCTGGAAGCCCCCCAGATCCTGCATCAGTCGAAAAGGTGAGCTGGAACAGGGCTGGGAGTCACAGCGCACTCAGCACTTGGGTCCCCTCCCAGCTGGGCAGTCACCACCATCTAGTGCATAAAGCTGGCGGGAAATGCAGTCCTCTGTGAGGGAGCAAAGGCCTATAACTCAGGTTGTGCGTTGATGTCTCCCTGGGGCCAGAGTGAAGCCAGCCGAGGAGCTGGGCTGGGTTTCTGAGAAGGAGGAACAAGAGCGAAAATGCTGTGACTTCTCATTTTAGCTTCTCGCCTTTCATTAAGTCTGAGAAATGATGTGTCTGAAACAACTTTTATGGACATCTGAGAACTAGGGGCTCGTAAAACCGAAATGATATGTTTTGTAGCATTAAAAGAGCTTGTCCCGCGCTCTGGCTGCTCAACTCCAAAGTGCTGGCAGAGGACTGGAAGGCATCCCTGGCTTCTGGTCAGAGAATTATTGGAGAGAGAGAGAGAGAGAGCGAGAGAGAGAGAGAGCGCGCACGTGTGCATGTGTACACATGTGTGCATGCAAGGGTAGAATCTAGAGACAAAAAGAGAAGGAGAAAACACAAGGAGAGGTCAGGGTTTGAAGGTGAAGAAGGACCAGCCTTACTGATGCCCTGCATGTGCCTATGAAAACGGCATGGTGCATAAATGCATCAGGCTGATAACCAAAAGGTTGGCAGTTCAAATTCACCATCCGCTGTTTGTGAGAAAGACAAGTGGTCTCCTCCCATCAAGATTAAGAGCCTCAGAAACCCGCTGAAGAGTCACTATGAGTAGAACTGCCTTGATGGCGGTGTGAATATGTGTCTCTGTGTGTGTGTGTGTGTGTCCATGTGGCTGGCTGCTGGACAGTCCATCGATGTTATCTTGCATCCTGCGAGGCGTCCATTCCTGCCGGAAACCCCATCGATGTTATCTTGCATCCTGCGAGG